TGTACACATTTATTTGCTGTGTGATGATAATGTTTTATATAATTCTGCTATACCTTTACGCACTTGTAGTTTGTTTGACATTGGATGCCCTGTGAGAAATGTTGTGCTGCGCTAATAAACTAAAACATAAGTAGAAACAATAACGTTTCTCCATGTATAGCCGAGAGAATATCATGAGCTTTGACCTCGAATGAAGGTTTAAATTAGGCAGAGCTGTAATTTATTGTGTTAAATCGAAATTTTTGGCTATACAGGGTGTGTGTCCTAGACCACCCGTCCACCCTCTATAAAATGGAGGGACATTTTTTTTTTACTGAAAACCGCAAAAATTTTACCTACTAAATCGGGGATGCTCTATCTTATGGTGGTATTACCGGCTTCCTATTTCGACCGGAAGTGGGTTAAACTGACCGGAAGTCCGCTTTTTTTAATTAGACATGCATATTTTTAGTACTGATACGGATTCTAAAGATAAAAATACTTAAATTTTGTTTGAAGCTTTTCTCTCAGAAGCACCGTTTACTACCCCTAAATGACCTTTGAGCTTTAACTCGTCTTGGCCCTCTAAAATGAACGAAAATGTTTTTATTGGAAAACGAAAGAACATGAAGTCGAGGACGCTCATCTTTTGGTCGTATTACCGATTTCTAGTTTCGACCGGAAATGGTTTCTACTGACCGGAAATCCATTTTTTTTTAACAGAATTACATATTTTTAACACTTATTCGGATTCTGCGCATNATCTACTGACCGGAAACCCATTTTTTTAACAGAATTACATATTTTTAACACTTATTCGGATTCTGCGCATAAAACTACATACCCTTTGGCCGAAACTTTTTTCCGGTTTGGACCGGAAGTGGGTCAAATTGACCGAAGTCCATTTTGTTAAATTACACTTGTATTTTTTTACTACCGATTCGGATTCTGTGGACAAAAATACGCAACTTTTGTTTTGATCTTTTTTCTCGGAAGTGCCTTTTTCAATCTCTAAATGACCTTCGAACTTTAAACAAGGCACTTCAGACAAAAAAATTCAAACAAAAGTTGTGTATTTTTATCCACAGAATCCGAATCTGTAAAAAATTGGACTTCCGGTCAGTTTGGCCCACTTCCGATCCAAACCGGAAAAAAGCTTCAGACAAAAGGTGTGTATTTTTAAGCGCAAAATCCGAATGTGCTAAAAATATGTAAGCCCATTAAAAAATTAACTTCCGGTCAGTATAAGCCATTTCTGGTCTAAACCGGATGTCGGTAATACGATAAAAAGATAGGGCGTCCTCGATTTGGTAATTCGTGTTTTTTTTCGTTTTCCAATAAAAAACATTTTCGTCCATTTATGAAGTTCAGGACGAGTTGAAGCTCGAAGGTCATTTAGGGATTGAAAACGGCGCTTCTGAGAAAAAATTTTCATACAAAAGTTACGTATTTTTATCCTTAGAATCCGGATATGTACTAAAAATATGCATATCTTATCCGGTCAGTATAACTCACTTGCGGTCGAAAGCGGAAGTCGATAATACCACCAAAAGATAAGAGCATCCCCGATTCAGTAGGTAACATTTTTACGGTTTTCAATAAAAAACATTTTATGTATTTAGTACATTTTATATATTTATAGACATATCAATGGTCTTCTGCCATAACGACACAATTCAAAATTAAAAAAAAAAAATCCTTACTACTGTTAAGTGGCTTATTCCTCTCATCCTTGCATAGTGGAAGTGGAAATCAACTTTAATTTAATTTTGTATTTAATTCTCATTTAAATAATTTTCAGTTTCAATAAACTATTTATTTAAGTGAATAAAAAGTGGTTGTAAAACAGACTAGGCCAGCGAAAGCATTCATTTGTACTGAGAGCTTTAGAAAGCTTTGGCACGCTGTGCTGTAAAAGCAGGGCTGGTATACAAGTAAGCAGCAGATACACAATGATCAGGTGATTAAACGTCTATCACCTCTGAGTGTGGTTATTCTGATTTAATTTTTATTTAAGTGCAGAGCATAGGTCACTTAAATCAAAATTAAAATTGATTGGTGAAACTAAAAATTCGAAAATTAAAGTAATTTTCACTTAAATAATTTGGTGAACCTGGCTGTAATATTCACAATTATTTTCATTAAAAATGTGTTTCATTAATTATTTATGAAAATATAGTTCATTCTATAACATAAACCATATAAATCAAAGTTTCATACTTTATATAAAGTTCACAAAAGTTAAATCAATTTTCATCAAAATTTTAAAATTTATATTCAGAATTTCTAGAAAATTTTCGAGTATGCAATATTTTTTCCCGTTTAATTTTAGTGAAACAAAGTGCTACCGATTTTTATAATTCTTATAAAGGAAAGGTGGTACCTCAGAGGTGGTCCCATGCTAATTTGGTTTAAATTCGATCATTAAATCATGAAGAAATTAACGGTAACGGTAACGGAAGTCGATCTTGTTTGTTTGTTTGTTTGAACATTTTCAAAGAGCTTCTTAAAACGATTGTTCGATAATTAAAAATACGTACATATGTAGTATGTATATTCAGATGAGATTCTAAAATGTTGATTTAATGTTTTAAAACAGTGCCGGCCAAACTAATATTAGTATATATTAAACCATCTGCATAAGTGTGTGTCAAGCGCGTCCCCGCAGCAATTCAGACTCACCCTAGGTTAGCCCTCACATAGTCCCTATTGTTACCAGCACTAGTCCCTCATAACTCCCCTGCCAATGGTTTCAACTGTCATTTTTAGCATTGGCGGGTCATTGGAAAAGGACCGGTCCACTCAACAGTGACTGTAGGATAGTCCTGAAAAAGTCCAATTTTGGAGATTTTTTTTCGTTGGAACACGATTACTTTCTGCAGTTCACAGATACTTTTTCATATTTTGGAAACACAAAAAAAAATATTTTATCATTTTACAACCATGTTGCTTCTACGGCATTTGAACCCGGACTCTCCTGAAAGCTAACAAATAGTGGTAAGCATCTCTGCGCACTGAGCTACAGCCAAATGTTCACTTTGAATCAAGGCCAGACGAAGCGATTGAGGTATTTACAGGGTGGTGTTCTTTAAATTTTTTTATTGAATTGCAAGACAACACCATCCTGTCACTGCCAAACTGTACTTTTCGTCTATCTTTAGACCGCTTCCTTGGGGACTGGTCGAAGGCTGACATTTTCGATGCAAGCAAATGTCCAATTCTGACCAGTCTAATTTTAACCAGTGAAGTACTACTCCTTTATGGAAACTTGCCTGCCTTATTGCTGCAGGGGTGAGAAGCGAAAGCATAACTTCGTGTATACACATCGTTAGCCTTGGTATGAAAACACGAACGAAAAACTGCACAATGGGCACATTTCGGCCGGAATTGTTTTAAAATATGCGTTTTCAAAACTTTCATAATTTTGATTAAAACACAAGTCAATTGATATTTAAAAATATGTATACATACACTGTCAAACATTTATTGATATCGATGGACATACTTACATTTAAATTAGTAACAAAAATTAATCATGAAAATATATTTACATATATTCTGGCGGCCGCTGTAATGTAAACAGTGCGCGCTTCCACTCCGCAGGGCCTGGGTTCAAGCCCTGGTCAAAGTAACATCGCAAAACAGCGGTCGCCCCTCGGCAGGCAATGACCAACCTCCGAGTGTATTTCAGCCATGAAAAAAACTTGTAGGTCCCTCCATCGGAGAAGAAGCTCGACCAAACACTACAACTGCTTTTGAGATTTACGCTAGTTAGATTCTGTAATATACTATAAAGAAATTAAAAATTGGTATTAAATAACATATTGGAATTTGTTTTTGTAAGCAACTCTTACCAAAGCTTTCTCTAATAAAAAAGTGCATCATATCAGGAACGTCCCTTTTATTGGCTATAGTCACGATACTGAGCCATCTGCACAAAATTTTCCGACAAATAAAGTTTTTCAGTTAAGTAGCTTTGAAAATTGTAATACAAAACGCCTTCGTTTTAAAACTATATCGTGCTTAATTTATTGAAACGAAATTTTCGTTTTTATTTTAAGTGTTTCGTTTTACTTTGCTGGTTAAAAATTTTGTCGCACTACAATTTGTAGGAACAATGGGCCTTATGAATAAAAAACAAGCAAGCGGAAGTTGTCACTGTCCATACTTAGACGCCATACACTACCACGGGCATAATAAGTGACTTATAGAGTGTGATTTTGGTACGTCGAGAGCGGACTTTACTCCTCAATTGCCTACTCAGCCCAAAGTAGCACTTGTTGGCAAGAGTGATCCTGCGTTGGATTTCCATGCTGATATTATTATCGGTGTTAATGCTGGTTCCCAAGTAAACGAAATTCTCTACACTCTCGAAGTTATAACTGTCAACAGTGACGTGGGTGCCAAGGCGTGAATGCTGTTTGGTTTGATGACAGGAGATCCTTCATCCTTTTCTTGTTTACCGCCAGTTATAATACCCTTGTGCACAATAGTGCTCGGGTATAATAATTTGAAGTCTAGGCATTAGGTAGTGTTTTTCACAAGATGACACAGAACGAAAGCATTCAGCAAGAGAAAGTACGTACACCACACACGTATCTTTCTCATTCAGAGCAACATGCTGGGTACCTGCTGGGTACCCATATCCATATGTACATCATTGATCTAGCACTGGTACAATATTTCTTCTACCTGTTTTGTTAAGATATGACACGTGTGTTCACCAAATGCTACTATGGTAGCTAAGAAGGCTGAAAATTTTCAGTAAGGCTCGTCGTTTTCTTTCCGCACAACATTTTATACCTGTTATACAGGACGTATCTATATGTACATACATAAGTATATGCGGACACATAACGAATTTGACTTTTTTGTGAGTGCCGCTGCCTTAAGAATGTCTTAAGAAAATATATTCCAAATATATAAGATCTGCGTCAAATAAAGTGGGATGAATTATGAACAGCGGTTTCCTTTCGAATAGGGTATGGATCCGCCTTTTCTCCATAAAAATACATTCTCATAAGTAGGATCCACATATGTACATATATGTATGCCAAATTTTGTACATCTGCGTTAAATAGTTGCCGAGATACATATGACGAATAAAATTTTGTTTCACTGGGGCGTGGCACCGCCCATTTTTCAAAATTTTGTACAGCTTATTTTTCCCCGCTCTGCCACATAAAGATCGGTTGAGTACTTTGGACAACACATACACACACACGCATTAATTATTTATATGCATAAGTATTTGTATATAAGATTCGTCCGATTAACCAAAGATACCATCGAATTTGTACCACAAAGTTTAATTTATAGCAGTCGCATGCAAAAACTTAGCCTCCAGAGCTACAATTGGCTGTGACTCTCTTCTGGCAAACGTCTAGTGTCAACATACTATTGAAAGTGACTACCTTGTTGGTATGTACCAGAGAACTGTGTCGAACTTGCTATTCCATGTTCTCCTCGGAATGGAAAACAAGTTGTGCCCGCGGGTTATATATATACGGCTTGCGCCAGAGTATTCGTCCATATGCCAAGAGAGGTTTGCGACAAATATGAAATACAGATATCCGGATTTGAATAAAAACTTTATTTAGAGTTTGAGATTATTAATTACCATGGCTAATGTTTCTAATTCTAGTCGTTTTATTTCTACGTCAGTTTCTCGCGAGGTTTGTTGAATGCGGTGCTTTTCCTCTTTTATCGCCAGTAATCTTTCTTGTACCGATAGCATCTTCTCCTGCGTCTCCACCAGCCTATCTATTTTTGCAACCAAATTTGTTTGGAAGTCTGCAACAGATTTTAAATTTTGTTGGAGGAGGGCCAACTTTTCATCACTACCACTTTTTTGTCTTTGTGTGTTTCTGCGTGGGGCTTTGACGCGGAGGGGAGGGAACTCCGATTTTAGTGGATCCGACAAGACGCTATGGGAGGAGCTGGCCTCTCCGTCGCTGGGACAACTATCACTATTACCACTGCTGTGCTCGGATGCTGCAGCTGGTGAATTTCCTAACTCTTCCAAACATTGGTCGTCTTCAACACAAGCTTTCAGTCCGGCGGCCTCAATTATCATCTCCTCAGAGGCAGTAATAACCTTCTCGCCATAAGAGCCTCGGTGCTTGGATGCCTTATTCAAGAAGAGCTTTTTCTTTGCATGATATTTTTGATCGGCGAAAACCTGTAAGTAATCAATCACAAATATAAAAACCTTTTTCTGTTAAAATTTATTATGAAATTCATATATGTAAATACCTTTCTCCACGTCCTGGAATCTTTAATTGGTGGGCCTACGTCATTTAAACGCCTAGAAAGCTCCTCCCAGAGTCTAGCCGATGTAGCTCTGCCTTGTACCGAGTTGGAAAAATTGTTCTGGGCCAAATTCGGGTGCTCGGTCATAAACTCAGCCATTACATCCTTCTGAGTAGGGTTTAGTTTACTAAAACTAGACCTACAGTAATAAAAGTAGTTATAAACTTTACTTATAAATTTTTTTTAACAATTTACTTACATTTTTGCCTAAAGTCGCTCGCGTTCGGTTGACAGTTGGTGTAGGAATGACATTTCGATCGAAGGAGTACGCTTGTCACTCGTTAACGTATGTCATCATACCGAATTACGATATAAACGATACGTTCACGTGTCAGTGCTGCCACAGTGTTTTTTTGTTTATTACCAAAATCACCATATCATATGTATACAGTATGGAAGAATGCTGCACCGTGCCAACCGTACAAGTCCAAAATCAATTTTGTATAAAGATCAAAAACTGTACACGTCACGAAAATGTACGGGTTTTCTTGGATTAAAAGGTAGAGATAATTAGGTATAAAAAGGAACCCTTTTGATATAAAAATAAGAGTTTCACTCTATTTTGTAAAATTTGTATTGATTTGCAAATTTGGGGAGTGCAAATGTACAATTGCAGCTGATGCATTCTTCGCTTTGCTAACCTCTTTTTAAATCAGCAACCAAGCTGTACTAGTATCTTGTAATTAAATAGATAATTGAACTGAAAAACTTGTCCCTTACTGTTGCTATTCAAAGGTCTTTCCTAATGGGCCTATTGGAAAATATGGCTCCGGATCTATTGGAGCCAAGACCTCTGCTATTTAAGCTAAGCCATCCGGTATCTCATTCTCCTGTATTCCCAGCAATCCATTAATTCCAGTATTAAATGTTTTTAATTTCCGCCGCTTACCTTTGAGTACTTCCTACAATTTTCCTTGCTCGAGGTTTTATTTTTCACTGCTATATGTATTCTAATCGACATACATTTTAAACACAATTTAAAGTTTTACATCGCTCATCACTATGCTAATATTTTGAATACAAGATTTTTTATGATTTTTAAGCAAGAATGGATCGAATTTTTTCTATTCTGTGTTCTTTTTCGTTTAACTTTTCGTCTATTCGCTTTTTTTTTTGCAAACTCAGCTGTTATTAAGTGGTGATGCCAGATTTTAAATATCCTCGTTCCCCACGATTTGTGGGATACTCCAGTAATTAGAACGTAAAAATAAGTTACTCTCTTAACCCTTTCGCTACTGCAGGGACACTGGTGTCCCACGGCATGTTCATTTGACCCTGAAAATCGCAATTTGTATTGTAAACTCAACCAAAATGTCCCAGTCAGTAGCTAGGAACCATATTTGCAATCTACCGTTATCCACGTTACATACAACTTTGCTCGTGTTTTGTTTTGTTCAGTTAGTTGAGAGCAGAGACTGCCATCGGATCAAATTTACTCATAATTTTTAGAAAAGAATACGCATATATCAAAGTGGTGGTGATATTTTGATAACAAAATTCTGTACTTATAGCGGTAAGTATAAATATATATTTTGATAAGTATTTTGTAAAAAATATTCGAAGAAAATAAATCTTGGGGCGTATGTGTTCCAACCGGGTTTTATAGTGGGACATATTTGAACCAGCAGTACGTTGTACACCATTTGCCATACAGTTAGTTTTTTTCCTTTTGCGATGTTGTAGACTGAAAAAATGACCAAATTGAATAGCGAAGAAATAAGTGCATTACTTCAAGAAGACGACGATGAGATCAGTGAATCGGGAACTGATTTCAGTGACGGAAGTGATGATATTTATAGTCCTTCGTCAGACAAAAGCATTGGCACTGATGACTCTGCTAGTGATGCCGAAGATAGCCAATTGAGTGACAAGGGGTCATCAGTCTCGAATGTTGGTACAGACGACCAACCTATGCGCGCAGAAGTTGTATATGATGAACCTTTAGCCACGTTTGTTTGGAGCACACCGGACGAGTCGTTCATTCCAAGAAAATCAGTTACTAGTCGCCGCGAATGCAAAATCGCAGAAAATATTGCACGTCACTCAACACCCTATGAGATTTTTCGAAAATTATTTCCAAGAAGCATGTCTTTGTACATCGCCTAGTGCACCAACGAGAGACTCAGGAAAGTACCTCTATCGGGACAAAGCGGAAAGAAACTTCTTCAAACCGACTCCGGCGAAATCGATATAATACTTGGATGCATGTTTATCATGTCCTATAACAATGTGCCATCTATAAAGGACTACTGGTCGAATCATTACTTATTGAGCAACAAATCTATAAAATCAGCTATATCACTATAATGGGCGGTGTGGACCTAGCAGACCAAATGTCGGGATTGTATGATATAAACAGGAAATCAAACAAATGGTGGAAAAAAGTTGTTTTTATCGTGGTATGATGATGGCTGCTGTTAACACTTGGGTTATACATTCGGAGCTGAATAGAAGGAAACGTCCCTTTCTAACAGCGCTTGTTGAAATTGCTGAGTCGCGAATTGAAAACGGAAAGGAATCTACCGTATATAAACGATCTCGTCGGTGTGGAAGATCGTCGAATATGTACAAATCCATGCGAAATGTAGGAGATCATTTGCCCACCTAAAAATACTATTACCTAGATAACTTACAAGCTTCGTAAGATTTTTACGCATCTAAAGTCTCAATGGGTCTCCAAAAAGTCAAAAATTAAGTTTGGGGAAAAGCCCTGCAAAAGTCGTAGCGAAAGGGTTAAATAATATCAACCAAATTTCTGTGAAAAACCGAAACCGGAACGAAACCAAAACCGAAACCGTTATTTTGAATCGGTTTCATTCCTTGGTTTAAACACCAAATTTAGGCACCCGCGGGCTCGTGTGGAACAAACATAATAATGCGATATCAGAGGCGTAGTCGTAACTTTCCTACAAGAAAAGGACCTTTTTTTTCTGACTTCTTCACTAACACACTAAAATATTCACCAATACACAGAAAAACACTTGTAAAAATAACCTTAGGAAATACAATAAGTAGAAAAGAGACCTTTTAGCACTGCTGGTAAAACCGCCATGTGAGAAAGGGACGCATAGTCACATGTACACAAAAGAAGTGTCTAGGAAACCGGAAAACCCCAGATTCATATCTGGTCAAGGACTGACACTCCAGCATCATTCCCCAAAAAGTTTTTATGTCGCTACAACAACAGAATACTGGAATTCATTCGTCAATATTAACAAAGCCAATAGATTCTAAGTAGACAAATGCATGATATGTATATATCGCACACCGTCTTCAAAAGAGTCACAACTCAAAATTTGGCATTTTTGATATTATGCGCTAAAAATGTACAGAGCTTTTATTTACCTTTCAGCAAAATCTGGAGCAAATTTTTGTTCTAATTTGTTAACAAAACCTAAGGTAAAGTCGCACTTGCCCATATGACTATCATGTGCTAAGAAATAGTTTTTCGCATTTTCTGACAAACGTAGTATTTTGAGTTGTGACTCTTTTGAAGACGGTGTGCGATATATATTGAATAAATAAAACACATTATGTCTTTTTTGCACAAATATCTTGTATTTATAAATTAAAATTGTTTTAGAATTTTTATTTTTCACAGTATTATAATACCAGTTTTGATTTATTATGTAAATAATTTGTTCGGCACAAACAAATCTCAAACTAATGTAGGGCGTTTTTATTATTTATATTGTTTTTTTTTTAATATTTATGATTTTAACAAGAGTTTTTCAATGCTAATTCAAAAGCTATAAAAGTTATGAATATTGCTTCGCTGTGTGTATACTCTTGCTGTACTTGAAAAGTACCATAATAATGTAACAATAACCAAATTAACAAAAATGTTATAAACAAACTTTAAGAAATATAAATAATGAATATACACAATATTTAATAGATATAGTATTTATATATTTCATGGTATGTTTAGGCTTCGCTGTTGTTACAACTATGTGTACTATGTATTACGTTATGTACATACATACAAATAAATCGAAATCATGCCCCGAACTTGTGTAGTTCAGTTAAATGGGCAAAATAATAAAGAAAATAAAAGTCTATTAACTGCCTTAGACTAAAAAATATTACATAAATATATATATATAGGTAAGGAATACACCTATTTCAAAATACACTCATTTTGTGTACACTAAATATGTATGCATCTTTTGTGTTAATGTGCGTAAACTATATAAAAAGGATAAGGCAACTTAAATAGGAAACACTTAATTGAAATGGGTTCAGATATGTGTTTTGGTTTTTTTTTTTCTTTTTCTTATGTACCCACACTACCTAAAATATGTATAATGCGCATATATTAAAAGTTTTCAGTTGTTTCATTATATGAATCGTATGTAGAGGTTCACTTGTTGCTGTGGTTGTTCTGTAATTGGCTAGACGCTTTTACGCGCTCTCAAATGGCATCACGATCCCTTCGTCATCATCCTCACAGTTCGCTAGTGTGTGTGTGTGTGTTCTAGTATGTGTTCGACGCCAACCACTCAACATTTGTGGCATGCACACAATGCCGCCACCACCACCGCCGCAAGCTGCCGTCATCCTCCTTCCTCCTATTCGTCGTCATGGCTGTGTTTAGCGTCGCTTGTGTTCTTGCACCGGTCAATTATTGCACGTATTTATTGTTTATGTTTACATACTTTTATTGTACATTTCGTGTTTGCTTTCAGCCGGCAAAGGCAGCTCAGTAAGATACTTATTGATAATTTTGTGTACGATATTTTTTATTTTGGGTTTTCCTCATTTTGTTGTAGTTCTTGTAAGCATTGTTGCAGTTGTAGCGCTATTTGTTGTCTATGGCATGTCTTTTGTTGATGTTGTTGGTTTTCGGCGTTTGCGGATTCCCATACACAGATTCATACATATGTATGTATGTATATATGTACATATGTGCTTAAAATGTTTTTTGTAACATCGTCGACTGTCTGGTTTGTCTGATTTTATTTTTAGTTTCAATCGAATTTATTGCATTGTTGTTTTTTTTTGGTGATTTTTTTTTTTTTTTTTTTTTTTTTTTTTTNTTTTTTTTTTTTTTTGTTATAGTGCTTGCTATTGGCTAGCTGGCTGACTGCGGCATTGTTTAAAGCTAATGGACGTTGCTACAAATCAAAATGTATTATCATCTATTTGCATCTCCAATTCGATGTCGGCGAGATTCACCTCACGCAATGAATTTATGAACATATAACGTGAAAAGTAAATATACAACCAGCGGAACCATTTCATTTGGGATTTATGCTCACGCATAGCGCGTCGTATTTGCGCGGCCTCATCCCAGCCCAATATGCACCTGCAAGAGTGAGAAAAGTTAAAATTTTTTATTTTCAAATTGTATTACAATATTTCATTGAATTGATCTAAATATAGCAGATTAACGAAAGAAACGTCGCTTTTCAAAAAGTCGAACTCCGGCCCTCAACAATAGCGTCAACTACAAGTTTACGTTCCATTGCGCTAATAGAACACATGCGTACATACAATTGTACATATGTTTACATATATGCATATTTATATTAAAAAAGAGTGTAAGTTTAAGGTAATGAACAATTAAATTTTATTCTCAGTTATGGAATTAATTTATGTACTTTTTAAAATTTGGATTCTTCAATATGGAGTGACCCAAAGTAAGAAATTATTTAAAGTTAGAAAAGATTCACAATTGTTGACCTACTTTTTTATTTACATACTTCCATCAAGTGTTAAAATTTATAAGAGAATATCGCAACACATTTTTCTTTGATGCTGTAATGAATACTGTAAAATTACTAAGTACATTTGTATACAAATTAGTTTTCATGTAGATAGTATGTATGTATATATGTATGCACACGCTCTTAAAGAAATCTTCTATTTGTATCATTAAAAATGCCTGCCCTTGGAGCACTAAAATAAAAGAGTTCACGCATAAATGGATTGTTTATTTTTAGATAGCAAAACAGAAAAAAACGACGATGCGAGCTACTAAACTGTCTCAGTGGTATACTCCGTCAATATCAGCAAATTTTTATCTATGCACAACTAAATATAGAATATCAGTTAACTATCATAAAGTGATAACAAACATATAATAGGCCTTTATTGAGTTACAATTAAATTACAGCTGTTCATAATCTACTTACCAGTAAGTCGATATACAGCACGTACAAAGCAAATCGAAAATTGAGATATATTTCCTTAAAATATTAATAGAGTCCAGTGTATAAAATTTGCAATCTGCAAATAAAAAAAAAGTTTAGTCAAAACAGTCATTATAAACTTTCTATCTCATTGACAATTCATTACATATTCAATATGCGTCATATGATTCATTCAACACCTTGACAGTATTGACGAGAAATACTTCGACTGAATGATATACGTTGCACGCTCTCAATAAAGTACATATATTCGCCTCCCGCTATTAAAGTTAGCATTTTACTTACCTTTTGGTAATAAATTAGCCAAACACAGTGATGCTGCTGCGAAATATACAGCGCTGTGGTTTGGGTGCTGACTCACACCATCTCGATCGAATGTACAGATCGCTTGAATGTCAAGACTTTCGACAGTGTGCAGAATTATGTTCGCCACCACTGGTGCCTTCCATTCCACATTCGGATCATCGGGCAGATTTGTGGCATTCACCATTATGATGTTGGCCGCTGGAACACCTAGCATTTCACATGACCGCCATAGTTCTTCGCGACGTAATTGCGCTTGCTTTTCGAAGTTACCTTGAAAAATATGCATTAATTAATTATATACTTATGTACGTATGTATGTGTCTATGAATAATTGTTAAATATGTATGTATACGCAGGCATAATTCAATCAATTTCAAAATTGAAGGAGTTGCATTTATTCATACTCACCGTTTGACAGACAAAGCACGTATACTTGGCAGCTAGAGCGATGTGTCAACGTATAAAGCAGTGGCCCAAAAAACATGCATTCATCGTCCGGGTGTGAGGTTACCAGCAAAACACGCTCCAATTTGTGTTGTCTCGGAAAGCGTACATTGTTGATTAATTTGCACCAACGCCACAGTGGACTGTTGCTGCGGGTCGTAAGGAAAATGCCCAGGCATACTAGCAAGTACACCAGACACGCGTAAATGATATGCTCCAGGGCTTCGATTGCTGTCGAACTGAAGCGTCGATACGAGAGTGTTGCCCAGTGCAGCACGTTAGCACGCCACGTCTCTTGCAATACGATCAACGCTTGCGTCTGATTGCCAGCCAACTGTTGCAGGAACCGGCCAGTATCCTCATACAACTGCAATGTACTCGCACTTACCAATTCAATTACTTCACTTAGCCAGGACAATTTCATTTCATTTCAAGTGCAGCGCGTTCTGCGGTCTGTGGTATTATTGTGGTTTTTCAATGCAATATGGTTGAATCGTTAAATTAGTCGCTCGGTGTTGACTAAAGGCTGTCTAGTTAATTATGAAACAATCGTTAATTATTTTAAGTTACCAAATGGTGTTTTGCAAGTACAATTTTCCGGTGGGCAAGCTAATACAAATGTTTCCAATTATGGTATTAGGCGATTTGTACGTTTGCAATTTTTCTCCCTTTTTTCCGCTGCAGTATTTAGCTTACAATCTAATAAATAATATCCAAGCGGTTTTAAATCGCGTAAAACTATTTTGAAATACAGCAATAATTTNTCTCCCTTTTTTCCGCTGCAGTATTTAGCTTACAATCTAATAAATAATATCCGATTGGTGCATAGCCAAGCGGTTTTAAATCGCGTAAAACTATTTTGAAATACAGCAATAATTTATGGAGTATTTTACACTTTCTGCCGCGCACCTGTGAGGAGACCACATCTGCTTCCTATGATTTTTGGTGGTCGCTCGGCTCCTTTGGCAAATGGCATAGAAAGCCAACAGCTGTTTTCTGTTTTTATTTGCAGCGTTGCCACAATCCGTGAAGACGTAACAAAAAAGCAAATCTGAAAACTTTAAAGTTATACCAAAGAACGTAAATTTATAAGAAGGGACAACTCGTTACTTTGATAATGGGCCGCGACGATTTTGACCAGAGAATAATCACCGAAATTCACATTTGCCGCTTTTCTTCTGTTTTGCTTGCATTTTCTGCATTCGAGGCGAAATTCAAAATTCTGCCGCGGACAGAGTCAAAACGGATGCGAATTCCTATTGCAAACCTTTCACATACGGTCAAAATCGTTGCGGCACATTTTCAAGGTAACATTCGTCCCTTCTTATAAATTTACCTTCTTGGATTTACGTTCTTTGCCAACATCTTTTCTCCGTTTTCTACCAGCAGAGGTCGCATAATTCTCGTAAGATTTTGTGTGGTATGGCAACTACTTTCCGTCCACTTTTGACAACTGCTGTCAATTTTTTGAGATAATTTTTCTACGTTTTCGTCTGCCGTGAACAGGAAAAGAAGAAAAAATCCTGAGTGATTTTGTGCTTTTAAACTTATCTTAATTTCTTAATTAGTGTTCAGGCATTAATTTAGAGAATACAATTTCAACGGTACATGAAAGTGACATTTACAAATTGTATAAATATTATTATTCTTGCATATTTGCGAAAATTAATCAAGTTCTTGGTGAAGAAGAAAAAACAGCCAGCAACAAAAAGAGCAGCTGCGACATTCTAGTAGAAAAACAAAGGAAGAATTTGCATAGTGAAGCAAACAAGAAATCAATAAAACTGACTAGACGTCAAAGGGAGGTGGGCGTGTTCAAAGATAATATTTAAAATAAACTTAATAGAAAGTAGAAAACCATACAGATTCATTAAATTGTAAACAGTGTACATACAACGCTACTTAACATTTTCGCGGCTGGACCGGAAGTGCACGCCCCTAAAAAGGAGTTGTTTTGAGGGTGACCAAATACATAATCCAAAGTCCTCCGCTAACAGCTGCAGCCTGCAGGAGTAAAAAAGGCTTCGACATACACAGATGTTGGTTCACCCGGGCAGGATCTGGGGTCATTCAAATACTTGAATATATTAAAATATTGGAGATATTTTCAAGCAACTAAAATACGAGTCCTTTTACATTTAATTTCGGAAAAATAAAATATTCATTGAAAGAACAAGCTAAAAATCCGTCGCTTTAGTTACTGCTTAAACTACGCTAAAAGATAACCTCAATGTCGTCTACGAATCAACCATTGGTCGACTTAATCAGCACATTATCTGAAGATGAAGCAGCAGCCGCTTCTGCAGCAGCAGGTACACACGGATTCGGTACATCCTTTGGGTCAACGAACGCTAACAAGCTTGTAACTGAAGTAGAGGTAAAATAGATGTTTAATATGGAAAGAAAAGAAAAGAAAATTGATTATATGTACGTATGTATGTATGTATATATGTACGTAGATGCAAATTTTTCTCATGTTTTCACGAATTTGTTAAAAATAAGCAATGTAGAAGCGAGATAACAAAAATCTCACTNCATGTTTTCATGAATTTGTTAAAAATAAGCAATGTAGAAGCGAGATAACAAAAATCTCACTTGTTATGACAACATAAAGACTTTGAGATCAGATCAGTATTTTGATGTATGTAGGTTATTTTTTTTTTTTAAATATCACCTATAGGTTATACACAGTTATAACTGGTTATACACAGTTATAACTGGTGCTTTACTTTGTATATTCTCTTGTAGCTGCGTTAACCACAATTTTGTTTTTTGTGGCACAAAACTACTTTTTACTTTTTTTAGAAAACTTTTACAGCAGTTTATAAAACCATTTTAAGCATCATGCTAATAAAAAACTAAATGAAACTTTAATTAGGCTACCTACGCATGAGTAACAGCACAGTTTTAAGTTAAATGAATTAATTATAAATCCTGTTCCAGGTACTTCCGGATTTGAAGGAATTTACGGGATATTACAGGAAGCTTTTCCCATACGCAATCTTACTTACACAAGGTTAATAGCGAAAACAGTTTTAAATTCTGTACAATCTGCAAATCCTGGGGTACCTGCAACAGGCTAATAGAATTCGTCTATTAAATAGATACATTACCATGAGGCTAACCCATAAATGGCTGACAGCTTCTTTCATACAAAGTATGTTCAACAATTTTTTTTTATGGAAGAAAATAATCACACTTAGCAACTTCAAACTTGATTACAAAGTTGCAAATTACTACGCAAATTTATACAATTTTTGCGGTATTTTGCTCAAAATTTAGAGTTTATTTTTATATAAAATTACCGAAAAGAAATTGGTATAAAAAACTTTGCTTACGTTGCGAAAACTTCTCTGTGCCAATACTTTTGTCCGGCACTGTATATGCTTAATAATGTAATAATGTACATATTTAATGCTTTTGTAAATATTTTCTTAAATTTATTTTAAACTTTTTGAAATAGCAAATAATTTGTACAACACAAGTATCCGTGCATAGGAATCTAATGTACATATGTATGTACATGCATATATACCTGCACAAGTAACTGAGCTCATAAACAAATAATTTGTATCTCCTTTCCTTTCCGCGTATAAAAATTACCATTGATATCATATATACACATACATATGTACATATGTATGTATTATTGTTTTCTTCTACAGATAAATACAATCGGACTGAACAAAACAAAGAAGAAAAAGAAGAAATCAAAGAAAAAGTCACGGCGAGAGCAAATTTTGTTATCAGTCGACGACGACTCTGATGATGATGATGAAGCCGAAGTAGATAATGCTGAAACAGGTGGAGGGGACGCCAATGGGTATACGACCAAAGTTCGTAGCAAACCAGCTACTAGATATAGCGATGCCGATGCCGATGGAGATGATGAAGATGACAATGAAGTTGCCATCGGCAATGGCATCGTCACCACCGATGAGAATGATTTGTTCAATTCGCTCAACGGGCACTCGCACAATAACCGACCAGAGCAACAACCCCACTACCAGCTGCAAAGTCAGCAACGACAACAAAATAAACATACAACGCAACAACTTTTGCTACTAGATGAGAACCTACCACACAACAATAGCAACACCAATAGCAGTTTCATTTCACTCTCACCCAACACATCGCCGGTACTAACTAATGGACTGGTTACCACAGTTTGCGCTCATCATCAACGTGAAAGTAGTGGTGGTAGTCAAAGTGGATTTGGCACGAATACCAGCCGCAGTAGTAGCAGTGCGAGTAGCGCTAGCGGGAGTAATCATAGCGAACACAGTACACCACAATATGGCAAAGGAACAGCATCTCCAAGGCAGCAAGCTGCTTTAAATCAACATATATCACCATTATTGACGTCAACACCACCGTCAGTGGCTGCTAAGTCGCGTAATTTTCAGACGAAGACTAATCAGCTGGTGTCGTCAACGTTACAACGACACTACGACAGCGCTGACGACGGTGACGAGATTTGTCTAGTGCCAGAAGTCGATTTCGAAAGTGGTTCCATTATGGATGCGGGTAGTGATAATCGGGAATCGCAGCCTTTACTCGGCGGTCATGGATATAGTAGCAGTAGTGGTGGACGGGATCACAATGAACTGGCGGCTAACACATTTATGGGTGAGTGCATATGCATCATAAAAGGCGAAAAATAAAATGACAACGAAAAATTGCATTCGGGCAAATGTGTGAATTTGTGAAATTCACAAATACATATGTATAAAGATGTTGATTGTTCCGAGTATTATACATACATCAAAATGCAAATATGCAATTAGGCTTGTGTGTTTATGCTCATGCCATAAAAGTGACATAGAACTCACTCACCTGTTCACATTTAATTGTATATTGTGGCTTCATTTTGGCCTACATCAGAGGGCTCAACTTACATTTTTTTTGTTTTTGTTTGTTTGTAAAAACTTGCTCGCGCATGGCTGACGACTTGATATGGCTTCTTAACGTCAGTGTGTATTCTCTGTTCCAGCTACATATTATTTGCTCCAGTAAAACAAGCTAAAAAAATAGTAATTCTGGCGATAATGACATGCCCAACTTATGTTCTTGCTATATTTTTATTATACTACTATTTCTTGTCTAACCTACGGGGTTTTTGCAATTATTTCATTGTTTATTTTATTTATTTAGTTTTTAGTTTCAATAAGTATTTTACATGCATGCATACACAAGTACAAATGTACATATGTATATGGTATTGCTTGTGAGTCACCGTTTGTGTACTACAGCAAATTTATTTATTTAATCATTCTTGCGAATGTGCACTGTGAAGCAAACCTTGCTTATTTATTAAGCTGTGATTTTTTTTTTTTAAATTAATTACTATCTCGGCAAGTGGGCTCACTTGTCACATACAAACATAACTAACGAAAGAAGAGTTCGATGATAACTATTTGTTTCCCCTTTTTAACACTGTGTTTGTATACTTAGGCGCAGCTAGGAATTGGGGATAGATGCTTCCCCTCTACTACCACTATTAATAAATTTTTTAGTTTTAATTTTATAACACAATTTCATTGTTTTTTAATTTTTCCATTTTAAACTAATGACAAAATACCCTTTAACCAATTCTACAAAAAAATGGGTTATACATTAAATATGTTAATAGTAGTTCTTGTTGTTGTTGTAACAGCATACAAATTCCCTAAACAGTTTTTGGGGAGTATTGCTGTAGTGACAGCCCTTGGCCAGATAAAAATCTGGGTTGTTCCGGTTACGTAGACCCGACTGTCGTGGGAACGTTAAAGTAATCACAAAATACGCTCTACTCTAAGAATTAAAGCGTTAAGAATTGTTCTCTTTTGTTTCACTGTATAGTGTATTTGTACTTTTGCACATTCAATACTAGCACCTACGAAACTTGTATGAAAGAGAAAAATCAAAAATTAACCTCGGAAATACTTAATAATGTGCTCACAAATATTTAAACATTTCACTTTCTCGTTGATCTGCCGATTGCGCGTTAGAAAAAAAAA